CCCCCTGCTGGCGCCGGGCGCTGCGGGGGAGCGCCGCGCCGCGGGCCCCTCTCCGGGCGGCGCCGCGGGCCCTGCGGTCCTCCCGGCGCGTCAGCCGGCAAAGTTGTGTCCGGGCTCCCCCGGGCGCCGCATCCGCGGGCGGGCGGGCCGCCGGGCGCCTCTCCCGGGCCTGCGCGTCTCCCCGCTTCCCCGCGCCCGGCTGCCTGCGCGGGCTGGCCGGGGCGACGGAGGAGGGAGAGTCGGTGGCAGGGCCCTCTTCGCCTCTGTCTCCTCTGCCTGGCGCGGCGGCGGCGGCCAAAAGTCTCTCGGCGTCCCCGGGGTCTGGCGCTCCCGCTGGCACACGCCGCAGGGCCGGGGAGAGGGCGAGGCGGCGGCGGCGGTGGCGGCAGCGTCCCCGCGCCCGGCCGTGACTCGGAGTGCAGAGTGCGCCCGAGGAGGAGTTGTTCGTTTTGCCTTCTCTTCCTTTCCACTCCCTGTTCTTTTTTCCCCCCCGAGGGGTAAAAAAGCCGCACAATCTCCGTATGTGCGCGCGCGTTGAGATAGACGTTGGCAGGAAAAAAAAAAAAAAAAAAAAAAAAAAAAAAAAAAAAAAAGGGGGGGGGGGGGGGGGGGGGGGAGTGTCGTCCGGGCCGTGCGGGAGGAGACGGCCCGCGCCTCCCTGCTCGGGCTTCCCGGGGGCGGAGGGGGAGGCGGATTCTGCAGGTCGGTGCTGCCTGATCCTCCTCCCACCCCCTCTTCCCTCCGCTTTTTCCCTTTCTGCCTTGGCTAGGAGGCTCTCTCCTCCCCGGCCCCGCCACCCAGCGATGCCAGGCCACTTTTGCTACCTCGAAACTTTCCCACCACATGAGTGCCCCGGACCCTCGCCCCCACGGGACGGTGGATAGATGGCACCGACCCGCTCCGGGAGTAGGATCCGGGCGTTTCTGTGCTCCCCCTACTCGAGCCCTGCAGGCCTTGCCCCTGTCCCAGGCTGTCCCCCTTCGCAACGGGGACGGGCGACCCTCAGTCGCCGCAGCCGCCAGCCGCAGAGCCTCCAAGGGGCGACCCTTCGCTGTCCAGCCCGGGGGCTGAGGGGTGGGGGTAAGCTCGAATGCAGCAGAGAAGCGGTGCCGGTGGATGCCACTCCCGGGCTGCAGCTCCCTCTTCTAGCGTCCCAGTCCGCTGTCCCCATGAGCGATGGGTTAGGCCCCTGGGCTAGAAGAGTAGGGGAGGTGGCGGCCGCTGGAGGCTTGGCCCCCTCTGCCATCATCTGCCTGCCCTGTGAAGGGACCTATCTTTGAGGACCCAAGGCCTCTGGAGTTCCAGGGCTCGCCAGACTGGTGGGGTCTCCACTGTTCCATCCCGGGCTTGGTACACTTGGCTTCAGACAAACCCAGACTCTAATGAGGGGGTCGGGCACTACTGGCTTTGGATCCAGTACAGCTTCACCTTGCCCACTGTCTTCCTCATCTGTGAAGGGGCGCTGTGATACCTGCAGCACGCTGGTTCTTTGGGAGGTCCAAACAGACTAAGCCGACCTCGCAGAAGCAGATGGAAAGATGGTTTTGGGGTGCCCTTCTGTGGCTGCCAGCAGTGGGTGGGAGTCTGGTTCCCAGCCCTGACAAAAGAACCCCTAGTGTAGCCTGTTCTTTCTGTCCCTCTGCCCACCCCTACCTGGGTCTGGGACAACAATGCCCACAGGGCACAGTTCCCAGAGGCAGGAACACAGCCTGCACCCGCCCCCCACCCCCGCCCTCTTGCTTCCCAGGACGCTTACCCACAATAGGCCCACCTAACGACAGTCAAGACTGCGAGGCAGAAGTGGATGGGTGTTTTTCGGGACAACACTCGATAGGAGACCTCGGAATTAAGGAGGGGGGGTGTCGTTCCAGCAAAATCCATTGCTTCCCAACTTCACAAGCCAACCCTACGCTGTGGACCTCAGCCAGAACTGCAGTTCCATGGAAGCACGAAAGTCTGGGAGCAGAGCGCCCCCTCTCTCCCAGTGAGAGGAACAGACCAGAAGTCAACCGGGCAAAACTAGGGCGGGTCTGACTTTGCCAACTTTGAAGCAGGGGCCCAGCAGAACCCTAAAGATAACAGCCCTCTGCCCTCGCTGAACCCATTCTTTGCTGTTCCTGTCCCTGTGTCTCTCCCTGCCCTTGGGCAGCAAGTGAGCCCTTGGGCAGCAAGTAGATGTTCCTAGCAGCCTGGGGACAGCCCATCCTGATATGGTCCTTGGCCCACCTCAGTTTTTTAGGATACCCTCTCACCAGGCACCACATACTCTCCAGCTTTTTCTGTAGCCAGAAGCACCCACCATTTGGCAAATTTCACCCCAGTCTTTAGATTTATCCGAGGGTTTCCTCCCGGGTGAAGCTCTCTGGTCCTCTGTGCCCCCAAGGATGTAATTTAGCTGATTAGGTGCCCAGAGCCTGGCTGGCTGCCTCATTGCCTGACTTAGCTCCAGCACAGGGGCTAGGCCTCATGGGCCCTGTCTAGTGCCAGACCTGACAGATGACCAGGGACAGCTTATGAAGGAACGACTGATGAATGAAGGGGAGAAGTCATTAAGCCAATGAAAGGTTTAATGCCCCCTGCCCTTCCCCCAGCACCAGCCCTGGAGGACACTCCTGGCCTACCCAGATACAGTTTTTCTCACCAGCTGCAGCTGGACTGGACAGAGCTGGGGAAGAGGGAGGACAGTAGCTCTTTGCCTTCAGGAACTTGAAGCGATCTGCCAGTTGACCTGGCACCAAAGAGGCAAAAGCCACCCTGTCCTCCATGGTGGGAGGAGGGTCCACGCTTCCAGCCCTGCTGCTAGTCAACTGTGGGGAGGGAACTGGGTCACGCGTAGTCAGAAACCATCTGCTAGAGAAGCTGGGATTATCCTGCCCTCTGTTGATCCCCCAGCCCACAGGAGCTGAGGGTGTAAATTGGGTTCTTCCAGATCACCTTGTATTTTAGAGGGGGCACCCATCTCCTCAAGGGGAAGGAGTGAGTTCCTGTTGCTTTGAAGCCTCATTTAGCACCAGCTTCAGTGCTTCCGCTGGTGACCTCAGCCTTCTGTCTCAGCCAGGGAGATGACTGTGCCTGTCAGCTTTGAATACAATAATGCCCATCAGTGCGGTAACCAAAATGCCCCGTAAGAGGACTGCACAACCAGGCCACCCCCACATAGGGTTCTGGCTTCTTGCCACTGATCAAGGAACTCGGATGAACCCAATGGCGAAAACAAGGAAAAAAACATGGCAACACTGGATGCAGGCACACCAAAGGTAGAGAAAACGTCATCTAGGTGCTTAGGGCATTTCCTCTCCTGCCAGTTGTGTGAGTGTGTGTGTGTGTTTCATAACCCATGCTAAGTGTCAATTTAGGACTGACAAAACCTTCACAGGAATAAAGCAGACCATAATAAGACAAGCCTTAGTGCTGGGTGGCTCAGCTGTTAAAGTGCCTATGGTGCAGGCACAAGGACCTGAGTTTGACTGAAAGAACTCAAGTCAAAGAGCTGATCATGGGCTAGGGGTAAACAGCTCCGAGGGTGGGGTGCTGTCCTGCCTACAGGAAGCCCTGGCTTCTACCTCAGCACCACATAAGCCAGGTAGGGTGGTGCATACCTGCAATCCCAACCTGGGGAGGTAGAGGCAGAAAGACCAGAAGTTCAGGGTCACCTCAGCTGTAGAGGGGGCTTGAGACAAGCCAAGGCTGTGTGAGACCCTGTCTCAAAGACAAGCAAAACAAACAAACAAAAGCTGGGGTATGGGAGCACACAACTTGTAATCCCAGCGGGGAGGGTGGACAGGTGGATCTCTGAAGCTCAATGGCCGGCCAGCCTAGCCTACTCAATCAGTTTCAGGCCAGTGAGAGATGCTGACCTGTCCAGAAAAAGGAGGAGAGGACCTGAGGAAAGACACACACTATTCGTTTCTGGCTTACAGACACACACACACTTAAGCCATAGAGCTCATTTGCAAATATTATTGAGAACCCAGGTGCAATGCTTAGGGGGCCGCACAGCCCCTGGAGGGTGTGGGGAGATGCACAAGAGCCTTGGCTGGAGGGTGGGTTTGGCAGGGCTGGGCTCAGGGTCCTGGCACTCACTTTCCAAGCACCGGCAGAGATGCCACTGCTGTTATTAAACGGCTCCAGCCTACAGCACGCTTCTGTAGGACAGACAGCTTTGCTGCCTGGAAGGGGCTGCTTGCTGGCCCAGCGCACAGGCCAGTAACAGCTGAACCAGGACCACCCAGGGGCAAGGAGCCAAGGCTGTCGTGTGTGTGTGTGTGTGTGTGTGTGTGTGTGTGTGTACAGTGCGTAAGAGTGCACACGGACAAGGCAGTGAGTAGAGGTCAGAAGACAACCTGGGGAGTCATTCATTCCTTGGGTAATTTTAATCATTGTTTGCTGTAAGGTCTCTGACGGGCCTGCAGTGTCACTGAGTGAGCCAGACTTACTGGCCACAAGCTTCCAGGGATGTGCCCATCTCCACCCTGCCCTCCCTGCTGCTCTTTTTACATGAGGTCTGGGTATCTGGACGAAGGTCCTCACACTT